AGCTCAAACAATCCGCCCACCTCTGCCTCCCAGAGAGCTAGGATTACAGGCGTGAGCCACCGCACCCGGCCAGAATTTTATTGTATTTTTAATCTTTGCCTTTTTGATGGTTATTCTCTTTCCACTTTTTTGATTGGCCCTAACTCAACACTTTCTCATGTATTGGGGATATTTTCTTTCTTATACAAAGTGATTCTATTCGTGCCCCTCACTCATTTTTTCTAAGTAATCCATAACTTTTTTATTGATTTGTAAGAGCAGTGAAGCAGCTCTTTCCTCACATTTGGGACTTAAGTTGTCTGAGCTTCTCAAGAAATGGGATCTTCAGTTTTTTCTCTCTACCTACCTGGCCTTTTGAGGCAACATTTTCCTTCCAGCCTCTATCCATTGCATGAGTTGCCTTGCAAAAATGGAGAACAGAGTTATTTGTTCCAGAACTTCCTTTGACGGGGGTCTTCAGTGGTTCTTGGAAGGATCCTACAAGAAAAACATTTAGCTTTGAATTTGGTGTTTAAAACAAGATACGTACTTTGATTGGAGATCTGGCCACAGCATCTTTCACAGTAGAACAGAATATGCAGGCCCAGGTTCTGGTCTCTCCAAAATCCACGCAGGAGAAGGAGGTCAGAGTCTTACCCAGAGCACTGGGTTTTTAAGTTTTTCACTCAATGGGAAACTGCCTCAGTGGCCTCGAGAGTGGGGAGGAAATGCCAGGTTTAAAGACCTGACTTCAGCTGGAGCACAGTAGTGGAAATGCTTTATGTCTGTATGGAAAGAACAGATGTGTATATTTGAAGAGTGGAGAGGAATAGCTCAATAGTTTAAAGTGATGGTACAGAGACTATCTGGTTTGCCCAAGCTGTGATCATCCTGCCAGGAAATAACTATGGGGTGCTGGCTTTGCCAAGCATTGACATTCGCTACATGATCATGAGCAAATCACTTTGCCTCTCCTCCTTCCTATTTCAGAAAGATGTTGTAAAGGTAGTTCGAGAGGACATCAGTGAAATACTTTCTAGGTTAAAATAATAGAAGATTCTGTGTTATTTGCATCAATATCATTCATATCCATTCTCTTCTCAAGATTGAGAAAGCGCTTGACCAGACTTTTAACTGTACTGAAACCTGTCAAGCCATCCTCTAAAACTAAAACTCTGCCATATCACTTGTTCATCAGAGGAGCCAAGAGACCATTAAAAAATCTTGGCCTTTTGCCATATAACAATCCCTTCTTCATTTGGACAACCACAGGCTTGATAAATTGTCACTAATGTTCCTAGAGTTTGGCACCTCAAGTCCTGGGATTTCATAAGAGAAAAATGTTACGTTTCAGGAGGAGAATGGAAACATGAAATGTTCCTCGAGTTTTAGATCTCGCTCTTTGTCCCAAGAAATTATGCATGCTTGCTTTCTTGTGCTATTTGTACAAGAGTACAGAGCAGAAAAAGCCAGCTCTCAGAGCTTCAAATGAGAAGGAAAAAGCTGCAATTGGATGCTAGAACTGACGATCATCCCGGTTATAAAAAAGAGGTCAAGTCCACCACCTAAGGAAGCAGGGACAGAGCATGGCTGCAAATGAAACTCCGTACACGTCCCTTCTGGGATGAGAAGATCTTCAGTGTCTGCTTTTCTGAAACAAAAAGAAAGAAACCCCACTAGCAAAGCACTCAGAAACCCATGTATCTGATTAATGCCCAGTATTAACTTAAGTAGAAAATAAAATAGACATTCTCATAAAATCCTTTGACTAGTATCTATCTCTTGGAATTTTGAATTTCTTACACAATGCCTTACAAAAATATAATAAATGTAGGGCCAAGAATGAAAAGGGAGCTCCTAATTTAGCTAGACATTCTTCTAAAACAATCAGCATCAAAACTGCCCTGCAATTACAATAGGATTCTGAAAGATTTCTTTCAGAAAATAGGGATAACGATGGTGTTTCTGACAACCCTGTATTTCCTGCTGCCTCAGTCATCTACTCTCAGTATTGACATTTGTCGTTACGTGGGAATTCCATTGATTTGAAAAGATTTGGTCTCCCTTTCAGTCTGCAGAACTGCAATGCCTCGTTGTGTCTAGTGTCATTGAGAAGAGTTGGCACTGCTATTAATACGTCTTAACTAAATGAGCATGCTGACAGTCAAAGAATTATGTTGCCTAGGATTTTAAAAAGGAAGAACAGGAATTAAATCACCAAATGATAGGTAGCAAATTTGGCTTCTGAAGAATGGGAATAAAAATGGCTGTGCCCAAATGAGAATGACATATTTCAGAGAGAGCTTGTGTTTCAGGGCTCTGACAGGTTGATCAGGAATCCTACTCATCACAGCAGGGCTTTGATGCCCGTTTTTCTTCTGCCCATCCTTTCACCCCTCCATCTCTCCCTCTCTCTTGCTCCCTTCCTTTTACTTTCTCTTCCTCTCATCCTCTTTTGCTTCCATCTTTTCACATAACCATTTCACATCTGATTATTCCATTACTAATATACATTTTTTCTGACTGTCATAAGCCAGGAGCCTTACCAGGGTCATTAAAATCCTGTACTTTGCAAAACAAAAGCATATATACATTTATGTGGATATACATGTGTAATACACACACACACACATTCATACATACAGTCTCCACAAAAGTAATCATCTACCAATGCAAGTCTCAAAAATATGTTTAAAATGCAACATATGTTAAATTAAACTATATTTGGCCTGAGGAAGCCTCCATACTTTGAGCCCCTACAACCTGAACTACAACCTAACTTAGTGTGTAAACTAACAGAGAGCCTAACTTAGGAATATATAAGCACTGTCTGGAAAATAGTCAGCCACATAATATGAAAAATTATGAAAATTATGGCTGGATACTTTCCGGATAGCCCTCATACTTTTGCAACAAACAGCGGAGTCTCAGCCAATCACAGAAGCCGAGCTTCAGTCAATCACAGGTGGCCACTGATCAGATCACGTCCAAATAAGGCCAACACTGAGCCGTACCCGATCAAACTGTTTGTGGACCTCACTTCTGTCTTCTTTTCATAAATGCTGCCTGTCCCCACGTTGTGGCGCACGGAGGTCTCTGAACCAATTCTGGTTCTGAGGCTTCCCTGATGAATGTTCTTTGCTCAATTCAACTCTGTTAAATTTAATTTGTCTAAAGTGGGGGGTTTAATTCATTCTTTCTTTTGTTTTTGTTTCATTCCCCTCGCACCCCCACTTTGGAAATTTCTTATTTAAAGGGAGAAAAAGAGAAAAGCACTTGACTAACACTAGATAGTTCTACAAGACAAAGATTCTCTCAGGAATTTATCTTCCATTAACATGTCAAAACTGGGCTGTGTCATTTCTGTCATGTTACCTAGAGTCAAGGTCTCTTTCTGAGGCATTATCTTCAGCACTGATCCAGAAGATTCTGGGAGGTCCATGGTGGAATGCTCTTCTCCAAAGGAACAGGCTGACAAATCCCTGGTTTGACTTTGCTGCCATCTTGTGGAAATTGGGCTACTGGCAACAGGCTCCTCAGCTGACAGCCTCTTCACAAAGTTGCTCTTAAAGTTGGAATATGTAGTA